CGCGTACATGCGCGATATATGTGCCTGTGTATGTGCGGTGCGTGCGCGTGTATAAATAACGGGCGCGAAAGCAGGGGCGTCAAATTTCATTAGCATATCAATGCTGGCGGATGGCGAGGCGCCACCTGCGCCCCCGTATTATGGGATCATCGAGGAGCTATAGCAGGGCTGCAGGGAATGACGTACCGGCGCGGCATAGGGGATGCAGGCCGGAAAGCGCGAAAAAAAGGGATTTCGTAACTACCGGCCACCACTTTGGCCACCCTAACTCCTCGCGCTCTCCTCCCGCTCGCGACTAATTGTTACCGCATTAGGGAGATACGGTGACTCTGGCGTCGCTTGGGACTGCGTCTCATATCGACCTGATTCTCGTTTCTCGGGCATCTGTTCCACGCGTAGTTTTCGATCGCTAAAGCGTTCCTCTATTCGAACCGTTTCGAATCCCATCCCTGATTTGTGTCGACAGTAGCACGTATTGGATTATTTTCTCTCTTTTGAATACTCAGAAGTTCTTCCTTCTAGCATATCAGTTACAAAAACGAATCGACGCCGAGAGTCTCGCCAGAGTACCATTGGATAAACAATGATTTCATATGTATATAGAACAGAGTGCTCTTTGTCTTTAGGTGACGTTTTTGGTTTCGTCTTTGTGAATAGTCTTCAGTCTCCTGGAGCAATCAGGAGAGTAAAGACGGTCCTTCCTCGTACATCAAATTAATAAACTGAAAGGGATAAGTTTAATTCACTGCGTTTTACTTTTATTTATCTACCCATTTCCAATAGCACGATTCATGAAATTTTCAATTCGCGTTTACCATGCGGTCTACACTGCGGGGCACAAAGGCAGCACGTTTTAATATTAACGTAATGTTTATTTGTTTAGCATTACAACCAAGACTTTGTTTTTATACACATTCGTGCACAACATAAGCTATAAACGTGCACAAATGAAATAGAATTTTATTAGCATAAAACGAGACACCGCATTTTAACATCCCAGGACCACGTAAAGGACACGATGAAATTCCTCAGAGCAACGAATGTACATGCACGATAAATTCTCTCCAATTGTCTTTCAGCTTGTAAACAGAAATTGACAATTTGGAAAGGGGAGATATGATTGTTCGAGCCTCGTGTCTCTCATTTTCATAGTTGTTGACAATCGGTTTGTGCAATTGTCATCCGTTTCTGTTTACAAGCTGAGGAACAATTGCAGAGAGTTTACTGTATATGGCAAGTTACTTCTTTTGCATATGAATATAATTTCCCGCAAGCTGTAATTCGATTGATCTTACGATGATTTGGAGTAGTTAGAGCAAAAGGCTATTATTAAAAAACTGCCTAAATCTTTACCAAGAAGAGAATGATGGCTGTTATTAAATGTAAAGGAGGAACCACAAAATATCAATAATTAAATATCATTCGTCGATTTATTGCTATAAATAATTTTTTTCACTAAAAATTATGTGCTATCATGTGTATGTTTATAATATATAAAAAACAAAACACCTTGATTGTATTTTTAAAGAAATGAAGATTACGTTAATTTTAAAGTGTGCTATCTGATTATCATATTTCCTTTCTATTGTCCTCTATTTACTCGTACTTATCCTTTTATTAAGCTTTATTTATTTGTATACCCCCTTTTTTTATTATCCTTGATTTATTTTTTTATCTATATTTACACAATATTAAGAAATAATTATACAATATAAATAATACCGCGTGACTTCGTTACTTTTAGCGATGAGCTTGCAATAGTCACGTGTACGATATTATTCTTCATTCAATTTATTTGGTGTGCATTAAGAGCAACGACTTAGATTAAGTCAAGAAGCGGACGGTTTCGTTTTGGTCTTCTTGAAACGAGATATTTGTAATTCCACCAGTTTTACACCTGGGGGAATTGTACTATCGTCGATTGAATCCAGTATTTCGTATATTCAGAACTATCAATTTCAGTGAAGTGGCCTCCAAAAGTTTGTATTTTTCTTTTTAACTGTGCCACTATCACAAGCATCCGGACTCATGTACATATGACTTCACGATTCTTTCTCATTTCACGAATATTATGTCATTATAGATCAGTGCGAACAATGTTTCTGGATAGATCATATTGACAAAATTGTTATAGTGAAACTGTACACACGAATGTATTGCGAAGAAATCAAGTTACAGGATTACTCCCATTTTTTACTTTTAGCTCTTTCTCCTCGCCGCAGTATATGTTCATGATTGTTTTCTACTTTAATTTGATGCGTTCGTTAACACGTTCTGTGCCGAGGTGTTTTTACTCGATTCTTCACACTGGCCATTTGATATTTTTATTATTAATTATATTAATATTATTAATTATATATATATGTTTTATATATTAATAATATTAATATAATTTTATATTCTTCAGCCCATTAAATAAACATGTAAGCATGTACCATGGGTGATACACGTGGTACAGAACGTGTTAATTTGAATAAATTTGAGGCTCCCGAGTTTTAATAATTGTTAAAAAATTTCCAATTGCGGAGACAATTTAATACAAACGAATGAACATTTCAACCGATCTATTGACAAAATTTGTTTTCTATTCATACGCAAGTGCATTGTTCTGCTAATAGTTGTTACTATGTTACAGCATTGGTGCTCTGTTCGGTCTTATTTGTTAAATATCCGGTGTTTAACCCTTAACCGGATTGTGATCGCTTGCTGCAGCGACTTTGCGCCTTACAACAAACAGGTCATCGTTAATATACGTTAATGTAATTATTTAACCCTAGAAAGATAACCATACGACAACGTACGTAAAAGATAACCATACGCTTCAGAGGCGCATGCTTTTCTAAGGCGTCAATTTTATACTAACAATGGATATTTATTTAAGTTAATCTAGTCATTTTAAAGGTTTGGCATTATTGTCAAAATAAAATGCATTTATATTATATTTTTTTATATTTTAAGTAATTTTAAACTTAAATCACTAGACCTCTATGAAAAATTAACAAAAATCAACAGTCTTCGCAGGCGCCTCTGCGACGTAGCTTATCTTTCTCGGGTTAAAAATGCACGCAAGTCTCTGTTAACTTATCAAGTTTGCGGCGTTTCAATATCAATTTACTTGCACACTTACTGACTTGTGTGGAAATATGCATTATTTACTGGAACGACAGTTGACAATTCATTAACAGTCCGGTTAAGAGTTAAAGACGTTAGTGTGTACATTGCGCATCGCTTCAATATCCAAACGTTGCACTAAGAGCATTCTAATTGTATTTCCATTTGTAACGTTACTACCTTACTTAGAACAGTTTAGAAGTAACAAAATTATCCCTTATATGCAATTGTGGTACAGTAGAACCTCGATTAAACGGTTCGCGACTATCCGGAGTCTCGATCATTCGGAGTCTCGATTATCTGCTGTCTTTTGTTTACTAACACCATACGCTCATATCCTCTTTTCGAACTCGTATTTACGCTTAAGCTTCAACCTTTAGTGTTGAACCGTGCCCTTCAATATTTGAAGCAACAGAACTATGCGTCAAAGGGAAGTTTATCGATGGTAAAAAAAAGTTATTACGATAAAGCACTCACGAAAGCAAAATGAGTAAAAACAAACATTCGGTTTAGTTTTGGTTCGATTTGGTTTAGGGAAATATATTTTATAAGAACAAAGGGTACACATTTGGCATAAAAAATGTATGCCAGATCCTCGATTTATCCGAGCTGTATCGAGTTCCTACTGTATTAATGGCAAATTTGATACGAATTACAGTAAATTCTCCCTAATTGACGCTCAGATTGTGCACAAAGATGGACAATTAGGGGAGAGGAGACACGATTATTTGAGTCCTGCGGCACGTTTTCGCAGTTACCGATTGCCAGCAGCTCCTCTACCCCCGAATTGACTATTTCTGTGTACAATCCGAGCGTGAATTAGGGAGAATGTACTGTAGTCGAACAAATTGCTATCGGGCCGTTGCTATTGGCTCTGCATCTACATAGAACTAAAAAGGGTTAACTCTTGAACATTAACCCCCGGCTCAGGTAATATTAGTAAATCTATCGACTTTATAAAAACAAGTGACGTTTAATCGATATTATACAAGCTTTCCTGATTTCTTTTTAACACTAAACGCACCGGTCAAATTACCGCTGAAGTTACAACGATGCTCATAATGGAAGATGATAAGCTAAGTTTCTTTACATAAACGTATATTATTTTCCAAAACTTTACAAAATGTAAATAAATGCAATCTGACAATTTTTGTAAGATGAGACGTACGTTACAAAATTTGATTTTACTGCTCGGTACGTTTAGTGTTAAGTCTTTGCAGTCGAATGGCAACTCTGGTGCGTTGCTAAAAATTATCAGATCCATAATCTAAAAAGATTGGTATGCACCTATGGCATTCATAAGACCCATGAAATAGTGTATTTTTCTTTTAATTTCATTTCAAGGAGCATCTTTGCCAACAAAAGATAGCACAGTAATAGACTCTCTTGTCTGAACGTTTATTTCCGGAATATTCTGATATCAAGACATTTTATTATCTAAAAATTTCGTTCGAGTTTTCTACTAGGTGATATAATGTACCTGAATAATACAATGCTTAAATAATTGAACGTTTGGATACCAGAATATTATAAAAATTAATGTTCGAACAAGGGGATGTCTACTGTATCCTCTTTTTGTATTTAGCACTGTAGAGCTACAATTGGCGCAGAAATGCAACGGAATCAAATTGATATAAATTCTGCCTCTTGAATGAAGAAGAATATAATAATAAGCATAATCCTGAATTAGGCGTGCTCCTATTATAAGTGTTTTCAACGTTTGGAAGATCTTTTATCTGTGAAACTATATTTTTTGACAGATTCTTTACCATCCCCCGTCCTCCATTTCTACGATTAAATCGTACAGCGACATTTCACCGCGTTTCATCGATATTTCTACGAATGTTAAACAAATTCAACAAGGCACGCAACTATGAACAGCGGCTTACCATGACGGATACTCATAGGGCTCTTAGGGCTTCTCGGATGTTCTGACGGCGCTTCATTCTGCGGTTGCTGGTGCTGATGCTGGTGTTCGTCCGAAGTAGTAATCGACGTTGCTCCGTTCATGGTGTATCGATACGCATTCCCTGTTATGGGATCAATGTACTGTAACATGTTTCATCCGCAAACGTTACTGCGCGACAATAAACGATTACCATGAAAGCTACCAAACGCGGATCTCTGATTCTAGAACAATTCCCAGCGTGAAAATCATGATCTTCCAACAGAAAGTAGTAGTACCACTGCCGTACGTACCATACTCACAACAACTCGGCGTCAAACAGTACACGACCAATTACCAAGAGACCATAGACCGAGGCTCTCACGGTACCAACTACGATCCCCGAATTGTTTTTACTCTAGCTAGGTATCGTCCTAAGCGACCGGCGTCATCAATAAATCACCGTGAAGGTCTCACCTGGTTGCCAAAAGCTCCGGAAAGCTCACTTGTCTATCACTCGCGCACACCACCGGTCCGTGATCACTGTGCCCAAAGGTTCTCACACTTTTCTCCCGTCGCGTCGAATCGGGGGTTACTCTATGTTGTCGTCGAGGCTGTCCACTACGTTCACATCGGCCGTGCGTGCATAGTCCGCGGCAACTGTCGGCGGCGCCGAGGTGGTCGAGGTCGACGGAGCTGGACCCGTCACCCCAGCCGGTAGCTGCGATCGCGAACAGGGTGGCCCAACGGCGACGGATGACGTCTCGGAGTCGGTGTCTCGGCGAGAGATCGACATTAGCTCCCGACGCGAATATCGTCCCCGTGCCGCTGAGGTCGACGTCGTTGGCGGTTGCAGTGGTGTCTCGACGCCGGGCGTCCCGCGAGCAACCAGCCACCGATTGGTCCGCTGGCACTTTTGAAGGCGGGATCAGGAGGCAACGCCGGAAAAACAACAAAAACGACGAGCGGGAGGATTTAACCTATAGCCGGCACGTTTGACGCGGCGCTTCGCCGACGACGCTCGTCGCGGCGCCTGCGCGCACCCCTCCGCGTCGCCTGACGCCTGGTCGACGACGCTTCGACCCCCACCCTCTCGCGGCGTCGTCACGAGACGACGCCTACCTTCACCCACTGAACGTCGTGCAATTGTTGATCGTTGGTTACGTGGTAGTGAAACTCTGGCTCGCCTTCTCTTTTCCTCTTCCCCGGCCCGCCGCGTTTCTTTCCCCGTTTCAACCACCCCGTCGCGCGACCCTCCACCCACCGCTGCCAGATTCGAGCCGGGAACGCTCGGGGCTACCGGAATCAGATGCACCGGCGCGCCGGCGAAATGCTTCTCGAGGATCCGAACGCGGTAGATTAATTTATTGCTAGGCTGCCTTTGCAACTGAGGGGAGGGGGAGGGCTTTAATCGATACAGTTTTCGAAACGTGCAGGCTGCGAACGTACCGGTTTTTGTCGTTTTCTGTAGAGGGTGGAATCCCTGAATCCGCAAGTGATTTTACCTTCGCCGCTTGCCGAGCGAAGCGCGAGCTAACGGAAAATGCGTTAACAGTAGCTAAAATGCTCGATGATTATGTCGGAGGTGCAACGACGTCGCCGGGGCGGCACAGACGTCCGGCGAAGGTTGAAAGCTGGGCTAGAGGTGCGGGCATCGTCTTGTATCCCCGCGGTCTCGTCAAAGGGTCAGGATTTGAAAAGACTAGTTAACGGAGCAATTAATCGTTCGATCGAACTTTCGATTCCTGAAGTGTTCCCCTGGACAAATCGAGCGAAATCCACTGGCAGCGAGGTTTAGCGGTGAAGTTACAGTGGCCTAGGTAATAGCTGCGGGGGTGGCAGCCTACGTGGTAGTGGTAAATTCAGCCGGAGGGATTGCCAAGTCCGCCATACTGGATTCCCGTCGCCGAACGACCCTGTGGTTTTCCGGTAATCGTTGCCAGGGATGCAGACAGAGGCATCCTCGGGCCCCCACCAGCCGGCGAGCAGCTCGAGGCCACGCCCCGGAGCTCCATGGCGGACCAATGACGCCGAGACGTCGCGACGCTGCCGTCCACCAATAGGATTACCCTCTGATACGGTCTTTCGCTTGTCAATGACTGCTGCACGACCACCCTCGCTAGCTCTCGCTGGGGTGCTTTTCAATTTCGGGCCTGCACCCTCATAAACGCAGCCAACCACCCGTCCACCCACCCCAACACACTTCGATAGGTCGCCACTAACACAGACGAACCCGCGGAGGCTACGATCGACGGTGTCGGCTGCCAGGGGCGGATGCACGAGGGGCAATCGAGTGCTCGCGGATGTTTTTTGCCACCGCGGGAAGGTCCTTCAGGAACTTGACATATCGAAGTATGAATATACCTCGTGGTTGATGAAACGAGCGTCGATCTGCTACCACTCGTAGAAAATTGTCGATCGTGATGCTATGTACGAACGACTCGGAAGCCGATCGGTGTTAGCACGCGTTTGTTTGAAAATGAGTTACTATATTTTCATCGTAGGATCCTTTGATCGATGAAACAATATAGTCAATTTCTTAAATATAAATGATAGATTTATAGCATGGAATGACTGAACAAAATTGTTAGAAGGGAATTATTTCTTTTAGAGAAATAAGCATTGACATTTTTCTTTTGTTCCTCTTCTGGTTAAGTTCATTTCTATGCCATTTTGTAATGCAAATTGTACTTTCTATAAATTTGTAGCATTGATATTTTTTTTACAGCGAATTTGGAAAGTTCTTATTTATATCAATTTTAAATCTAATAGTAATAATACGATATATTAATAATATAAGTATAATAATATAATAACATGAGTAGCGTGTCCATATAATTGTTGATAGAATTATTTAAATGTTTAGGAAAATTAGAAATATAGTATCGTACGTGTATTAGACAAATATGATGAAAGAGTTCGCGCTGTTTAATAATGACGTTAACGCTAAACCTACCGGAGCAGTCGGATGACCAGTTTTTAAACCTTGAGCAAAATTTTTTAATTCAATGTTTTCACTTTGATGCATGTTTTTGTCGTTTTACAAAATATAAAATAGGGTATTGTACGATATTATGCGAATATTATACAGATATTTAAGCACTAGAATACCTTTTGTTGCTAAGGTGTTGGATTTTGGTGACTCTGGTTTCGCAGTACTGGATAAGAATAGTACTAGATAATGATTGTTGTTGTTTTCTCAAAACGCTTGAAGATGATCGAACCGTTTCTTAGTGTCTTGATCTTTTTCACACATATTTAACATTAATAATAATAACATTAATATTAATATTAGTAACATTATTTTCCATAGACCCTAATTTAACATGGAAAAATTTCAATTAACAATCAGAAAATTGATAGTCAAATAACAATATTTATATTCTGAGCTGTCCCAGTGTTAATTACTTCGTACAAAGAAAAGAGGAAACTCATTGTAGGTCGACAGTCATTTTATTACCTACTAATCAATAAAATTTATAAAAATGGATAACAAAGGAGTAGGAGACGTTATCATGACTTAATCACAAAGAAGAAACACTCATTTTCACTTATTGTTAGTGGATCTTTTCTGAAGTACTTATCTTCGTACTTGCGCGAAAAGAATACAAAAATAAATATCGAGTTTGCTCATTCTATATTTATAAACAAAACAAACGTATTTATTTTTAGCAAACATTTTCTGTCCCTCTAGTTACTTGACGAATCCGAAAATCGTTCTCTTCCACCAAACTCAGTCGGAAGTTCAGCTTCGAAAAAGTACAAGTACTATCAACTTTAACCCTAGAAAGATAACCATATGACAACGTACGTAAAAGATAACCATACGCTTCAGAGGCGCATGCTTTTCTAAGGCGTCAATTTTATACTAACAATGGATATTTATTTAAATTAATCTAGTCATTTTAAAGGTTTGGCATTATTGCAAAAATAAAATGCATTTATATTATATTTTTTTATATTTTAAGTAATTTTAAACTTAAATCACTAGACCTCTATGAAAAATTAACAAAAATCAATAGTCTTCGTAGGCGCCTCTGCGACGTAGGTTAT